CGCCGGGGGCTCTCCTGCTAATTTCAGGGGGCAGCCAAGCGTTTCACGCTCGACTTGTCATTGGGCCAGAGGGGGCATTCACACTGGGTGACAGCAATTGGGAGAGAGCGGGAGGGGCTTTTGGAGGAGTGACGAGAGAAGCTGAGCCCCCCTCCCCCCTCCATACGCCCAGTTCCCTCTGCCATGATCAAACGTTATTGTAGGCAGGGAACAGCATTACAAATGGGTGTCCTGTGGCAAGGCTGGGATGATTGTAGCTCTCTCTCTGCTGCACTCTCTCCTCAGGTGGTTGTGAGGAGCTCACTCCACTGTTATAGCTAACAGGACAGAGAGAGGAATCAGAAATATACCACTCTGTTACTGCAGTAAATAATGGAGTTATTTTACGCCACATCTAACAGGCTCCACTAAATTATCACCTGCTTCAGTCACAGACTTGTCCTTGGTGTTGAAAGTAGATTTTATTGGCAAGACCTTTGGAGGTGAAACTGATGGACACATTGGTAATCAGAAGGATCGACTGGCCTAAGGATTTGGTGTGCCCTTGGGAGTTATCTCTGAACTCAGTGAGATAAAATGGCTACAAAGTCAGTAAAAATCATTAAAGTATTAAGAACGCAGGAGGACGAGGTTGGACCGATATGGTAATAGCCTTGGCTCTTAAGGCTGCTCTGAACTGTGCTTTAAGCCAGAAAGAGCTGATCGGCAGGCTGTTATTGCAGACTATGTACTCAAGTTCATGACTGACAGTAAAAAAATGGTTTCAGTGAGATAATTACAATAATTAAAGTTTTCCCCATGTCTTGAAAAACATATGGCATAGCGCTGAAGAGAGCTCAAGAGGTTGGACGTGTTGAGCAGAAAGCGTGTTTCTATAACTCTGTGAAAAAAGTATTTTATGAACCAAGCCGACAAATGAGAGACATGAGGAAAGTGTGTGAAAACAGAGAGTGGAGAGGAAGAGACGAGTACAGGAGGCATCTTCAGGGCTGTGAATAATTTAGGAGGGCACTGGGGAGACGAGACAAAGATGAACACAAAACACTGGCAGCATTTGACCTCGAGCTGCCGCTACATCAGTGCGCACATCACAGACTACTCCGTGTTCTCTCACTCTCTCTCCCCTCTCTTCTGCTCTTCATCTGCCTCCCTCTGTGTCAGCCCGGAAACAGCTGTACGCAAGTCTTGTTTCACCTCACAGTCTATGAAACTCAGCAGAATAGCTGACAACTCAGTTCGCCCATGCAGGATCCGTGTCTTGCTCCCTACACGGGGTAAGATCAGAGCAGCCAGAGGAGCCTTGAACAAAATAGAGACAGGATGTGAACTTGAGCACAGTGCGCCTGTCTGTCTGTCCATCCCAGTTTCAGGCAACCAGCCAATTAGTAGGAAAAGAAAAGAACGCGCCTGCAATATAATGAACTTGATCAAGCTATGGACTGTTCTTAACTGTATGCTAAATGATTGGCTTAATACCATGTAGATAAGTTTAATGCCATACTGTGGAACATTCCTGGCAAAATCAAGTCAAATTAAGCTCAGCAATGGCACAAACTCATTCTTCACTTCCCTGATGCATCCTAATTATTCACCATAGAGATCTTATATTTCACAACTTTTCAAAGGCTAGGGCAAAGTTGTGCAGTCACAACTAGCAAGCAACTAGCACATCAGCCTCACTTCCTTTCAATATTAAGAGCTGCTTTTACAGCACTATCGGTATTGGTGCAAACAACTTTATCACATGAAAATAATAAAGCCAAAAATAACTAAACAAATTAACACCATTACCATAAATCTCATATCCAATTACCAGTATAACGATAACATAATGACAATATTTTGAGATAATTACAGGACTACATTCATACCATACTCCATACAACTGTAAAATGACTCACCCTTATGTAACAGATAACCCTGTCCTGTCAATCATTATATCATCTTTGCACTGTTTTTCCTTACGACCTCTTGTATAAAACTGTGATACACTGTATTTATATTACTATATTTGTATTTTTTCCTTTTTTAAATTCAGAATTTCTCATTACCATTTATCTTTGTTATTATATTATATTGTGATGTGTGAGCTACTGTGTCCAAATAATTTCCCTTGTGGATCAATATAGTTATCATAATTTTCTAATAATTGTTATAGTTGAAGAATAATGAATTGTAACATACCAGGGCACCATATTTTTTTTTAAATTACACTTGCAGACACAGATTCACTTGGATAATAAATAAAGTGGCAGATCCAGCGTTGACCCTGACACCCCTGCTCACCCATGTGAAAGCTAAGGTGGACCGACTGCAGTAAATAACAGGTAAACTATCATTAGGCATACAAGAGGTTAAACACAGCCAGTTCATGAATCGCTTCACCAGCTAAACTGTTTGTGGTGGAGTGGAATGGGAGGACACAGGACAGCAAGCTCAACCTAGAAATAAAAATAAGTAAAGTAGGGGGTATTTATTACTGCAATTAAGAACACACCTATTAAAGAAGGAACCTTGAAAAAGTCTTAAAACATGCAAATAAGCCAACTTCTATTTTAGTTCTCTCACTTCTCTCCCCTCTGCTCCTTCCACTCCCACTGTCTCCTGCTCAGTCTCCATGGCGGATATTAATGGGACATCCCTTGTTTGTAAATGTGCCAAGTTGTGTGCACCACTGCGGGCTGTCTATTATAGCAAGCCTCAGGGGCAGCTTATCCATATGGCGTCGCATATGGCACTCAGCAGCATCAATTAATGTTGTTATAATACTGATTTTTATGAGCTGGGGTTTTCGCTCTCCTCCCCACTCAGTGCGATAGATGCCTTACAGCACGAAGGAGCTTTTGAACTGTCAACAACAAACAACTAACAAGCAGGAGAGCTTGGAGAAAGTTTTTTTGTTTTCCTTGAGATCTCGTTGCTCTGATATGATGCGACTCAAACAACTTCAACGTGACTTTGAGCTACACAGAATTTCCACAGCATTATTTCAAGACATTTGGTTAGTAAAGTGTGATTTAGCATGAAATACAGGTGAAAACTAGAGCGACAATTACTCTAGAACGCATTGCATATTCAGAGTGTAATGGAGCATGGAGACCACATCTTGTTGTTTTGGTCAGATTAAGCCAGCATCATTGGCGATTTAATGTGGCAAATTAGGTACGCTTAGGCAGATGGGAGCAAGAAGAAACTCAAGGAGAGCTTTTGTTCACTGGTATCTTTGGTGGATGATCTGACAGAGAAAGGAACAAGAGAAATATAAACAAAAAACTCAAAAGCTCCAAGTCACACTAGTCTCGTCATTGATGGTACAATTAGAGCCTAGATCATTCATGCTTTTCGGTCGGGAACATCTCTCCACCACTCTATGGAACTCCTTGGTTTGCGCTCAAAAGCACTGGTTTTAAAATGTTTTGGATGGCTAATCACTCCCAGGATGAAAGGGTCCCAGCATGTTCGTTTGTCTCTGTGCGGGGCGCTTCCCTTGCCGTTATTCGCTCTCTGATTCCGATTGTTTTTGTTCGTTTCTGGAGCGGCAGGCGGGTGAGGCGAGCTGGCAGGCAAGCACGGGCGTTTGAAGGTGCAGTCAGAACCGGAGAGCAGGCCTGATGCTTTGTAGTGATATTTCCAGCAGCACAATCTCATTACTTTTTGACGTGGGAGATGCGTGCAGAGGTGGATTGTCATTTCACGCTGTCGAAAGTTCTGTGAGGCAAAGGAGACGGGAATGGAACTTCAATGACCTGCACGCCTCGGGCTCATCAAGTTTGAATATATTAAACTGAGAGCATCCTTGGATGTGCCTGTAAAGTTAACCTCCACACCTAAGGAGGTTAAGGGGGGTTCTGTTTATCTGGGAATTATAATGATCATGAAACTTAATATTAAGAGTTTATCTATTTAGATGGCAGCCTAAGCAAACAGGTCCTTTGTGGCTGAAGATAAAAAGGCATGCACCCAAAGCTTCCTACAGCGACTGAGCCCTGGACACTTTCACATGGGAGATCAGTAGCAGCTCCTTCCAAAGGGAAAAAAGGGTGTCCCCCGAAGTCAATTTCACACGGAGTTCTTTGAATGGAGAGAAAACTTTGCGGCTGCCAGGAACTGATTGAAGCGCATGGTTACCGGGCAAACTCCAGCTTGTTGCTGTGGCGACTGTCCCAAAGTGCTTCCTGGGTAATTTTCGAGGTCACTGGTTTATGCACGCCTATGTGGTGCAGATGGGCCCACCCTCATTCAGGGCCCAGCAGGAGTGCTTTCATTAGCTCCACTGAATAGCCGCATTCATCCCCTTCACCTCAATTGGTCACACTGCGTCTCCACAGAGGGCCCAGGACAAACTTTTCTCTCTTTGCCCTCCGTGATCCGCCACGCACCACCCACCTTCGTCATGCTTCACTTTTGTTCTGGACCAGGGTCAGGCCCCAGGATCATCTCAAAACCACCGTAGAGCCACAGATGAAATCTACTGACACAACTCTGTTTGTTTAGCATCCAAACTTAGCAAGCCAGTGCATGACATCAAACCACAGCAGATTATTCAGGAAGTTACTGCTGAAACACTGATTTTATGTTATCCTATTTTTATGAGCTGCACATAATTCTGGCAGTCCAGTTTTATCTTGGGCTCAATGAAATGCCTCCAGTTAAAGACAGAGCTCAACCTTAAGTTACCTCTGTGTCCCAAGAGATATTTGCACCACTGCAGAGCTTAACTATAGTGGGGCTTCTCTCCTCTGCTAATTGTGGCCCTCAAGTCCTGTGTCTGGCCTAGTGAGAAGTGACTAATTGTCTAGAGTAGTTAGTGTGTGAGCTAGGATCCACTCCAGCTGATGACAGGGTGCACAATAATTCAGCTCCTATCTTTCTTCCCCCCCTCTCTCTTTTTACGTCTTTCAGCAGATTTAGCCCCTCTGCTTCTCAAGCTACTGAGCTGTAAAATTGAGTGGACTGCAGACAGGATACAGAATGAGACCTGGCAATGTGGACGCACTAACCTTGAGGATGGCCACTGCTGCTGGCTGCACCTAAAGAGAAAGAAACATAACATCAGTCAAATTGGACTACACAAAATTTAAATTAACATGGACAAAAGGGAAAATCTATCACAAATCTGGAGGATTGAATGATAGAAGAAAGAGATAACTTTAGGTTTTTAATGCACTGACAACATTGTATACATGTAAAATGTAAAAGGATGAATAGTTAACAGCTTTAGGCTTCAGGGTGGACATTTAAGTGGTATTGCATCAGCATGCATCTATAAAAAGTGAGAACAATTGCCAGAAAAGATACATCAGTTTTAATAGAATCTCACTTAAATTACCCAAGAGTGTGTTTCTAAGCAGTTATAGCAATTTACACCAAACACACATTGTATAGCTAAAGTTGGAACAAATGTGAGCCATCAGTTACTATGAATCCCACATAGTGCTGCTGCAGATGTGAACAAATGGAGCCTCAGTCCCTTACACATGATATTAGTGCATGAGCTGCTCTCTCCACGAGAGATTAAGCAGGTTTGTACTCTCCCAGGCGGCCAGCTCCCCCCTCCAGGGTGCTGCACTATCATTTGCAGGAAAATTACTTCAGTAATGAAGAATCCAGGCCCATAAATCCTTGTGGCCTCACCTTGCTTTGCTGCCCAAGTCTTGCTGAACAGCTAGTAAAAATTCCCTTTAAAAAATTCATAGTGCAATTTTGCTCAAATCCCTCCCAGCAAGCACAATTATGGAACTTTCATCTCAATTGATTTATGTCCTGGGCTAAAAGAAGGCTGGCCGTTGGGTGGGGGCCGTTAAAGGGGAGGTAAAAACAAGTGGTAAATCATTGTTTTTAAACAGAAGGCGAGAGGGCTTTTGTCACTTTGACTGCTCGTGTGTTGCAGTGCAGTCGATGGAGCGGTGGTGACATAAAGGGAGGAGGAAGAGAAGCGTCTGACGTGAAACAGGCACAAAGGAGGAGGAGACGCTGCTGATGGAGGCCAAAGACGTTCTTCCACTTGATTAATAACACTAATCAAATGATACAGTGTTCCACTGTGCCCTGAAATCTGGGGCCATAATGTCCTCTAATGGCGAGGTTCATGGAGCTAAACTTCAGAGGGAAAACACGCTGCTGACGGCTGCACGCCTTAATGAAGGCAGTAAAACATCCATTTCCACAAGCCATGAAATGAAAGGCAAGATTGTAGATGTGCACCCAGTGGCTCCCCCACCGCACAAGAAAGAAAGGCTGTTAACACAAAAGACAGTGTGGGAGAGAGAGAGAGATGCAAGACCTTAAAGAGAGAATAATGCAAGAGAAGCGATTTAAAGGGCAGGCACGCCAACAGCCAGGGATATAAAAGAACAGAGCATGATGAAGTGAGGACGCAAAGACAGATTGGAAGATTCTCCTTGTGCTTTTTTCTCATCTGCAATAGACACAACCTGTGTCCTCTGTTTATGGATGAGCCAAGCACTTTCACAATGTCTGTTCTACTCAGAGACACTGACAGCAGACACCATTCATCACCATTTAGCCGCTGATGCACCTAACCACAGCATCGAGCCCTCATCAATCTCCATATCTCTACATTACAGCCGTGCCTCCTTTCATATAACAATGCACTCGCTTGATGTGTCCATCCATCTCTCTATCCATAATGCAGGGAGACGGCAAAGGTCAGCTAAGGTCATCAGTCCAAATTTAGGACAACCTGTCATTTCTGTGCTACAGGTAGACTAATATACCTCAAACCTGATGCATGCAGTACTGAAGATTCAATCATTAAGTATATTAAGCAGAGATTAAAGACACTTGCAGATATAGAAAAGGCATTCCGGTTTGCAATTAGTTACACATCCTTCAAACAATAAAATGAGCCTGTGCCTCTCGTGTAAAGCAACAGTTGTTTGCAATCCTTGGGGCAAATTTTCATCTGGAGAACAAGGGGAAAAACAACAAAGCTGAGAAAACACAGATTGCTATTGTTATTATTATCATAATTACAGTTGTGCTTATCATGCAAGCCGCCTCAATCAGGATGAAAAACAGTTTCATTTGATGGAGCTTCCTGTTTTGACTGGCTCGACTTTGGGAACCGCACACTTGGCTGTCGTGCCAAAAACCCAATCAGGCGCAATTACATCGACATCAGATAGAAATGTAATTGATTTGAAAGCTGACATGAGATATAACTACATTACAGTGGGGGCGCAGTGGGGAGGGTCCTTCGGGACAGGCCCTGCAGGGAGCTCATTACCGCCAAGCTTTGAATTATTGAGTGACTGAGGCTGTGACATTGAGCGATGGAGGCAGGCGATTGGCTGTAACAACTCTGCAAGTGTTTATCTCAACTTACAGCAACCTAAGACATGTGAAGATGTGATCCGGCCCTGCATGAATATTGCAATAGAAGAAGTTGTAATGCTTCATAATTGAAAGGGTTCAAGGTAGAGTTCACGAGTGCATATCAGGTCTATGTGTTCCCCATCTGGCATTTATAATTGTGTTTTATTTATTATTCCCATAGCAATATAACAAAGGCTTATTATGCAGTGTTTACTTTGATCACATGGATATGGTGAACATTAGCTAGTTTCACAGCTGGGAAACAAAAACACTTAATTCTGGTATTGATATAGTTATTGATACAGAGCCTGAGGATTTGAATCTTGATCTCGCTGTTTGTGCATTTGGCAGGTCTTCCATTTAATAATATTAATGCATTATTCATTCATTTCATACTCGGTGGTAAGGTACTTTGGGCTAACCTGTCCTGGTGTAGACGTGTAGAAGTGAGGTTAGAAGTGACGCTGCCAACCTGCGCCATTAGCCTCTCTGACCCCCATCAATCACTCACACTCACACTTTATTCATACTAAGCAAGGTCGGTCCTGTGTAAGTGTCTTGCCTGTCCCACTGTGGCACTTCATATTCCCAGTGGTCTCCCATTCAAGTATTAACCAGGTCCAATCCTGCTTTGTTTACAGTGTCAGATGAGATTGTGAATTGACAAAATATTATGTGCTGTTTAGTTTAGTTAGTTTTAGTTCCATAACATATCTGCTTACTATACTGCTGTTGTATCCTTGGTCCAGCGGTTCACCCATATTTCTCCAGTGTAATATGTTTGAAAGTTCTAAAGGTGGTTGCTAGCTTCTCTGTGTTGGTCTCATAGGTTCATACCTTTAAATGTAAATGCCATCTTCACTCTGAGCGGACACACATCGCCAGTTAATGAGTTGAGTTGAATTCTAATGGGACAATTTGGCCATAAGCTGAATTAACATTAAGCGGCTAGATTAGGTGAGAGTCTCTTGAGTTAAGAGTAAGGAGCACATCTGCCTGACCCTGACCACCAGCCTTCGGTTTTCCCTTTGGGGTGAATGTTAAGAAGATAAAGATATAAGCGCATGGGGCGGCTTAGTGTCCCTCATGAAGATAGTGGCTGCATACCACGGAGACATGTTTTCCCCTACGGCTACTCCAAGTCACCTCCTCTGTCTTTCTCATAGTCGATCCATCCTCTCTCCATTCACACAAGCCTCCAGTGAGCTTTCGTGCAAAAATGAGAACTCAATTAATTCAGGCAAAATGAGGACAAGTGAGAAGGAGGCGTCGAGATGGCCTTAGGAGCCTGTGGAGACGCAGTGGGACTGGTAATGTGGCGGTCTGGAAGCAGCAAACAGTGCATGGGTGGACTGTGGATGTGTAATAAGCCTTTGGTCGAGTTAATCCCATCGGCAGTTTAAACATGGTGGATCTGTGGATGCATGTGTCGCACAAGAGGATTCTGGGTAAACAAATAAATCTTTCAGAGTGGGGAAAACGAAAACCTGATTAAAAACCAGCAGTAGTCAGTTTATCAGATACAATGATAAAAATATTTGGTGAGAGTTTCAACAGTAATTGTAATAGTGCATTATGTAACTTTTCTGGAGGGTGTGCCACCAGCTTGTCTCCATGGAGATTTTAAACAGTATTGCAATAAATGTATCTCTGTCCATGAAGACTAACAACTGATGTCACAAGGACAAGTTACTGGTCAGATTTGTGGAGAGATGTGCCATTTAATGCTTTAAAGACAGCAAACTCTCACCAGAAAAATTATATAATGCACCTTTAAAGGACTTATCAAGCTAAAATTAAAAAAATAAATAATTGAAATTAGGACGCAAAGCACTAATATGATACGATCAACAAAAATCTTTATCTCATTTCACTGGACTATTTCTTGCATAATGTATTTGAGATGTTACAAAATTATAATTAGGCATACTTTGGTACCTGTTTTCTAATGTCTGAAATCCTATATAAAAATGTAACTGAGAACAAAAGGTTTTACATTTTGAGTAAAACAAGGGGTACAAATAAATCCTACACCTTATAACTTATAGCCTGACCTTTACAATTCACATTGTAAATTTGTAGAGTTATGCTGATGCTAACCATAATCTACAGACAGAATGTGTATATATTAGCACAATTTACAATGCCTGAGGTGCTGTTTAACCATAATCTCAGTGCATTTACGACTTTAACCTCTGACCTTTGACCCTGATGAAGTCGAACTGAACCTGCAGTTAAGCGTGCAAAGTACATTCAAAGAGACAACAGTCATCAATCATCACTAAGCCTAGTCACCTTTTAAGCCACGCTAATATCCAAAACAGTAAAACAGGGTTTCTTGTAAGATTTGAGGTGGCCAGTAGAAATATAATCCACCCACTCACTATTGTAATTCAATGCACAATCCTACAGAAGTTTAAGATGTTAGTTCAGCATCGCTACGGCTGCCAGTAGCATTTTATAGTTTGGTTCCTGACAGTGTAAGAAACTAAAACAAAACACTCAAAAATACAGTAAATCAAAACAAATGGCCCGTATTTACTGGTAGACTACTTGTAAGTCTGCGATGCTGTAGCCAGAGCAACAGTGCCGTAAAAGTAACCACTTCGTTCTGACAAGAGTGTAAATCTCCAGGCATTCAGGGATATTTTTATGTTCATTTGAGACTGGCGTGCATATATTTCAATGTTTT